TGTAATTTTCTTTTTTTGTGATGTCTTTGCCTGGTTTTGGTATCAGCTTTATGCTGGCTTCATAGAATGAATTTGGATGTATACTTTTCTTTTGTATATTCTGAAATAGTCTGAGTAGTACTGGTGCAAGCCCTTCTCTGAATGCTTGGTAAAATTCTCCAGTGAAGCCATCTGGGCCAGTGTTTTTTTTTGTTGGGAGTTTTTCTTTAATTACCTTTGCAATCTCTTGTCTTATTATTTAATATTGCTTTGATTTCCTCTCCATTTTAAAGTTCTATACCTATACCGTTTATTCCCTCTTTTATTGTTCTGACGATGTTGTAATTTACAGATTGATCTCTTTGGTTCCTTGTTGTTTTTGTTTTATCCTTGAGATTTCATTACCTGGATCAGTATCTGCCTGATGCTATCCTGTGTTCTAGTTTCAGATTGTTGTTTGATGTTGTTGGTTCTCTAACTGTAGGGCTCCCTTTAATAAATTTTGTAAGTTTGGTTTGGTTTTTACGTATTCCCTTAATTTCTGTTTATCTGGAAATGTCTTAATTTCACCTTCAGATTTGAGCAAGAGTTTTGCAGGATATTTTATTCTGGTTTGACAATTTTTTTCCTTTAAGATTTTATATATGTCATTCTGTTGCCTTCTTGCTTGCATTGTTCCTGCTGAGTAATCAGAGCTTAGTCTTATTTTTGGCCTTTGCATGTGACTCTTCATTTTTCTCGAGGTGCTCTCAGGATTCATTCTTTGTCTCTGGTTTTAGTGAGTGTGATTATGATAGGTTTGGTGATTTTCTTTTGGAGGCTATCCTTTATGGGGTTCGTTGAGCTTCTTGTATAGTCAGCTTTTCATCTTTCATGATATTAGGGAAGTTTTCTGTCAACAAATTTTCATTGATCCTCTCTGTTTTCCATTTTATCCCTCTCTTCTGGAACTCTGGTTTCATGTACATTTTTGCTTTTGTTTGTATCCCACATCGTTCTTAGGGTTTCTTCATTTTTCTTAATTCTTTTCTCTTATTTTTCCTCAAACAAAGTGATACTCAAGGATTTGTCACAATTTCACTGTTGCTGTCTTCCATTGTTTCAGATTTGCTCCTAAATCCTTCTATTGCACTGCCCTTTCTGAAATCTTGTTGTTTATCTTTTGGATTTCTAATTGCTGTTTTTGTATGATTTCTAGTTGTTTGTTTATTTTGACATTTTGTTCCAGTATTATTTTCCTGAATTCTTCCATTGCTTTGTCTATATTTTCCCTGATTCTGCCTATTTTTTGCTGTCTGCATTTTCCTTCATTGTTTGGAGAGCCCTTAAAATTAGAGTTTTGAATTCCTTATCAGGTAATTCCAATGCCATTTCTTCTACCGGAATGTCATCTGGTGTTTTGTTTTTGTTGCTTTCTGGAGCTATCCTGTCCTGTTTTTTTTAATATGTTTTGATATTTTCTGCAGCTTTCAGGACATTCTGGAATTATTTTTTTCATTTAGTAATTGTACATTTGTTTGTTTCATTCGGTTTTTTGTTTTATTTGGTTATGTCTGGGCAAGCGGGCTGGTTATGCTTTGTTGCTTGCTTGTCTGTGGACACAATACTTCTCACCACTTTGTCTAGGTGGACAGGTAGCTCAGCTATGGTGCATCAAGACACGTCCAGTCGAGTGGGAGGGGAACGGATGGATAGTTTGTGGCATGTATGGAGGCCGACAAGGCGGGGCCATGGGCAGTGCAGGGTGGGGTCTTTTGGTCTGTTCCTCTGCCAGTTCAGGGCACAGTGCTCAGCATGCTGTGCAGGTAAGCAATAGGGCAGCGAGATGATGTGATGTGTTTAGCTAAGTGGGTGAGAGAAAGAAGAAAGAGAAACAGAAACCAAAAATTTTTTTAAAAATGAAGGATAAAAGAGAAAGAAATAAAAAAGAAAAAGTAAATCAGCAGGTTGGGGTGGGGCAGATCCAGTGAGGTGATGTCCTGGTGGCTCTAGCTGAGTGGTGTGGCTCGGCCTTTTGAGAAGGAGTGTGGGAAGTGCACCAGTCTAGTTGGGCAGGAGAAAGGAAAGGAAAGAAGGGAAAGAGAGAGAAGAAACAAACAAAAAGAACAACAACAATAACTATGGTGCTGGGGGAGCTGACCATTGGGAGCAGGATGAAATGAGGTGGTGGTGAACTGATGTCTCTCTTGCCAGGCAGTGTAACACAACCCATCAGGAAGGGGCAGAGGCAGCACAGGGCCTAAATCGGAGAGAGAAGGAAAAGGGAGAAGGGGAAAGATAAAAATATGGCACTGAGGGAGACTGTCAGTGGAGTGGTGCAGACAGGGGGATGCTGTGTGCTGATGGCTCTCTAGCCAAGTGGTATGGCATAGCCTGTTAAGAAGGAATAGGGAAAGCACACCAGGCTAGGTGGGTGGGAGAAAGGAAAGCAAGGAAAGGAGACAGAGATCAGAAACCAAAGGAAAAAAAATGGTGCCAAAAGAGCCCACTGGTAGGGGCAGTGCAGACCCAGGGAGGCCATGTGCCAGTGGCTCTCCAACCAAGAGGTGTGGCACAACTCATCAAGAAGGGGCGAGCATGGCACAGGGGGTTAGGTGGGAGGAAGAAAGGGAAGG